TGAAATTGGTTTGAACCTAAGACCTTTGTTATTTAAATCAATGAGTAAGTTAACGGTGAACTAACAAAAATTAACGGAAAAGTTAACGGATAATCATATTCATTAATGATAAATTAGGAAATCTCAAGGAAAAATTTAAATCTGATCAATCTGAGTCATTCATTAGATTAAAAAATTTGACCGTCATTTTTTCTACCCATTATAGGCCTAACTCTCTTTGGCTCTTATTAGGGCAATTTATATCCTACACCACGGCGCGCGTTGCACTGTGCGCCCAGATGCAAAATGACGTCGTTTTAATTAATTTATTTTTTGAAATTTCCCGCCCCAGTGAATGGTAGTAATTTTTTCTTTAAAAAAAAAAACCGCTGTTCAAAAATGTACATAATGTTATACTAGAATACACATAATTGTATACATGAATGTACATAATTATATAACAAAATATACATACTCTTTTTAAAAGATAATACACATAATCTAACATAATACATAATAAACATAAACTTTTAACATTATACACATCAACTCTTAACATAATACACACAAATTTTCTGATTCGGATGTACATAATTGTATAAAAAGAATGTACATAATTGTATAAAAAAATGTACATAACTGTACGAACAAATACACATAATTGTGTGAACAAATACACATAATCACAGCAACTTCCTACCGCGCCTCCCAAAACGACCTCAAAACGACGTTGTTTTGGGAGGCGCGCGGCGCACAGTGCTACGCGCACCGTGGTGTAGGGTATAACGATTGCTCTTATTAGTATAGTAGATAGATTATGTGTCTATTGGACATAAATTATATATTTACATAATTCAGATTTGAGAATAAGTAAAATAGAAATGTGTATGTATCTCGTGTTATGCGTTTCTGTACATCATGTTATTCAATTATACATATTAAGTGTAAGGATTTTGTACATAAATTAATTTAAAGTTTGTGTTGAAACATGAGAAACGAAAAGTTACAGAGTCTGTTTAAGCTTAATCATCAAATGATGTCGTTTTGATCCAAAGTTCACAATGCTATGTGGACCCTGATCCACGATATAAATTGCAATTATGTACCTATACTGGCCAAGCCAATAGAGGAGGGTGGTGTGGGGTTCACAAGATTGGGTGAAATTGTGGAGGCTTCTGGCATCAAGCTGTGGTGGAGGTTTAGAACTGAGAAGTCACTCTGGGGTGACTTTCTGAAATCAAAATACTGTCAGAAAGTCCACCCTGTGAGTAAGTCTTGGCAGAATGGGGATTCCCACATATGGAAGAGGATGCTAGAAGCAAGGGAGAGGGTAGAAAAAGAGATTGTCTGGGATATTGGTAGGGGGGAGGTGAACTTTTGGTGGGACAACTGGACAGGGAAGGGGGCTGTGGCCTTGCTCTACAACATAAGGGGGAAGGCACAAGCTCGAGAAAGGCTGTGTGACTTCTGGGAAGAGGCGGGATGGAGGATGGGAAATATGAATGAAAATCTTCAGAGGGATTTAAGGGGAGTAAGCTTGAGGGAGAATAAAGAGGACAAAGCAAGGTGGAAGCCAGACAGAGATGGGACCTTCACTTTAGCCTCTGCAAAGAGGTGGATCAGATCCCAGGCAACTGAGAACCTCAGGAACCAGTTTTGGTTCAAGAAAGTTTGGGCTAAGCATGTTCCTTGGAAAGCATCATTCATGGCATGGAGGGTGTTCAAGGGAAAGGTTCCAACTGATGATAAGCTGATTAATTTTGGCTTTCAAATAGCATCAAGATGCTCTTGCTGTATACAACCTGGATTTGCAAGTTTGCAGCATGTTTTTTGCAAAGGGGAAACTGCAAGCAGGGTGTGGAACTATTTTGCTAATTCTCTAGGAATAAGAATACAGCTTGGAGGGATAAGGCAGGTGTGCTTTGACTGGTGGGCCAAAAAGCATAAAAATAGACTGGTAAAGTACATGTCAGATAGGTTGCCAATACTAATTCTTTGGGAACTGTGGGTGCATATGAATCACTGCAAATATGGGGATGGGAAAGTTTCAGAAGCTAGAGTCATCTCCAAAATTGCCAAAGGCATTGCTGATTGTGTTATGAGGAGGTGGCCGGCATGGGACCCTTTTCCCCCAAATTGGAACTACATTTTGAAAAGAGCAAGGGGTTTTGGGTGCACAAGAGTGGTGAGAAGCCTGAGTTGGAATAAGCCTCCTAGTGGATGGGTGAAAGCTAACATAGCTGTTGAAGGGGAAGGTTGCAGTTTTTACTTAAGGAATTTTCAGGGTGAGTTTGTTCTTGCTGGAAACTACACAGGACCTGGTAACACATTGAGGCAGGTTCTAGAGGACTGTTGGAGTTGGTGCACAAGGAAGAGGATAGCAAAAATCCAAGTGGAGTCTGATTTCAACTTGATGGAGGAGAGAGAAAGGCAACCAAGTGAGCTCACAGTGGCATGGCTGATGTGTAATCCTAAGGTTAACTGTGTTGCACATTGGATATTGGAAAAGTGCAGAGGGCAAAACTTAGTTTTTCTAAAAGCTGAAGCCCTACCAAAGGCACTACAGCTGACCCTTGCCCTTGAGGGCATTCCTCATTTCATAATGCTTCCTGGGATTGATGTGATTAGCGTGTTGCCTCGAGCAAGGAGACAATGGGACCCTGGTGGAACTACTGCACTTTGATGGTCTCTGATGGGCTGCAGAAAAGGGGCTGCTTGGAAGGAGGCTCCAAGTTCTGATGCCGATGCTGCAGATTGGCTGCCTAATGATGGTGCTTGATATGGAGCAGCTGAGGACTTCCAGCATTCTGCAGAAAATCACCTGAGGGTTTCTACAGGATATGAACTAGAGCTGGAGTTGCAGAAGCTTGAGGAAGGCTACAGACTGACCTGATGCTGAAGTTAAAGCCCTGATCTGCCAAGGCTTGCTTGGTAAGTGTGGCTTCCCCTTTGGTTTGTGGAATGTTTGTTGGTTTTACTTGGCTTGCAGGTCTAGACATCATTGGTTCATCCTTGGGCTCCATTGCTTGGTTCATGGGACTAAATGGTCCCCTTGTGAAAGTGCAGCTGTACCAACAAGGGGTTCCATCTTGTGAGCCAAGGATGGGGGTTCCTGGCTATGTCTTTTGGGGGTTTGAAGTCCGTTGGTTGTTCTATGATTGTAAAATAAGAGGACTGCAATGCCCATGGATGTGATCTCTGTGTGGATGCTGGGTATGGCAGTTTGGTTGGATTTAAAACAAGAAAAAGGAAAAAGAAGGCATAGAATTGCTGGAATGAAAATGAAAATGAGAATGAAAAGGAAAATGAGTGCTTGCTTAGGGTGATGGATTGATGGTTTGGTGGTGGAGCTTCTCTATTGCTTAGGGTGTTGAACTACATAAGCTTGCCCCGGTAAAAATGCAGAGATCTGTACGGGGTTGAGCTGGCTCGCACCCTAAGGGTAGAGGCTCTAGGCTACCATTGCTTAGCTCACAAGGTCAAATGATCCCCTTATGCAAGTACTTTGGTATCAATAAGGGGTATCATCTTGTGGACTAAGGGTGGGTCCCATTGCCTTTAGTGGGGGCATAAGTGACCCCTCCGGCTAAAACACGGTTTGCCGTGCGGGGGGGTTGACCTCGCGCTTTAGGGGTGGGGGCGTAGGGTTCGCATAGGGTGACTCATCTAGGGGCATTGCTCATGACCTTCTTATAAGCATGATGGGTTTGCTGGAATGAGGCAAGAAACACTAGACCAATGGCAAGATGATAGGAAGGGATGAACCAATGATGCACAGACATGAAAGACAAGAATGGAGGGTGCTATGAATGGAGGTGGGGGAAGCCATACTTGGTAAGCAATCTGGAAGTAGATCAGGGTTGCGGCCTTGGTTAATGGTTTGTGTTTAGTCTTGGCTTGTAGCCTCTGTAGCTTTATTTTGTTGTAAGGCCAAATGGCCATTTTGCTGTAATCTGTAAGGCCATATGGCCCTTATCTGTATAGAACCTTGTTTGGCATGGAAAAAAAAAAAAAAGTTGCGGTGAAAAAAAAAAAATCATGAAAATCAAATGATTTTTAAAGTTCATGATTTGTAATCTTTGATGCTCAACTTTGAATGCTATGTATTTAGTCGGGCTAAAAAAAAAAAAAAAAATTATGTACATGTAAATAAATTAAATGTCCTTTCAAAAAAAAAAAAAAACTAAATGTATATAATTTATTAATTAACATTATATATATTATGTTATCTACAAATAAATATTACGTTATTAATTATAATAAGTACCTAATTTATTAAAGGAATAAGGTTCAAATTGGCCACTGAACATAACGTGAAAATGCAATTTGACCACTGAACGAAAAAAAAATGCAATTAGGCCACTAAACACACCAAAAACGTGCAATTAGGCCACTGAACACTCCAAATGTATGCAATTTTACCGGATAGCAGGTTACCTGCTTACGTGGCAGCTGAGTTGGCATTTTAAATAATTTGTGATAAATTTTAAAGTAAATTTAATAATTAATTTTAATTTTTTTAAATAAATTTTAATAATAAGTTTTAAATTTTACTTACTTACCATCGTTTTTTTTTTAATTTTTTTAAAAAATTTATTATTAAAATTTATTAAAAATTATTTTAAAATGCCAACTCAGCTGCCACGTAAGCAGGTAACCTGTTAAAATTGATGGTAACCTGCTATCAGGTGAAATTGCATACATTTGGAGTGTTCAGTGGCCTAATTGCACTTTTTTTCGTTCAGGGCCTAATTGCATTTTCAGGTTACGTTCAGTGGCTAATTTGAACCTTATTCCTTTATTAAATATGTTGTACCTCATATACGGGAAGTGAAGTTAATTAGAAGAACATCCTTATTCCTTAGTCTAGTTTTAGAAGATGGTTTCCTTATTATTTTGGAGATCACTTTAATTATATTTTAGAAATCAATTTGTAATTATTGCCCTGACTAATATAAAAGAATTTATTTTCATATTTTTAGTTTGAGTATACGTGTTTTCATCCTTAACAAATTGGTAGAATGTGTAATAAAACAGAGCGGTTATCCGGAGCGGCGGCGCCGTTGTGTCTGCCGGAAGATATAATCGTGGAGATTTTGAATTGGTTGCCGGTGGCATCATTACTGAGATTGAAGTGCATCTGCAAGACATGGCGCCACATCATTGAACGGGATGATGAGTTGGCGGAGAAGCATCACAACCGCGCCACCACCTGTTTCCGCTATAAACATAAGCATAAGGATATGCATGGAACCACCTTCTCCAGTGGGTACATGAAGATGAAGATGAGAGAGGCGTTTTGCTGTATCCATACACAGAAGGGGTTAGTGCTGGAGCAAGATCGCGGTACAGAGCTCCCAGAAAGGCTTCGGATAAGGAACCCGGCGACGAGGCAAGCGGTGTACCTGCCCGTCATCGGCGGCACTTATTGGACGCTCGCCGGAATTTTTTTTGTTGGAAAGAGTTGCTGTAAAGTGATAAGTTTCTCGCAGGAGGGGAAATCGGTTTTTGAGGGACGATTCAGAGCGATAACTGTCGGCGCTGATGCGGCGTGGAGACCTCTGAATAATGATCTGCTACACCGGATAAGCATCCTCTTCCGGAAGTCTAAGATATACTCTCTGAGCATCGGAAACGTTTTCCATGTGGTCACCATGAACAATGAACTCAAGAAAATTCTGTCAGTGAACGCAGAGAATGAGAGGTGTGAAAGTGAAGAAATCCCAGAAACTCTCTTCTCAGATTGGGGGACTGTGAAGCCAAGGGAATGGGATTCAAAGCTATCTCTTTACAGCCAAGATGGGGAGAATAATAATATCAAGATTTGGGTGCTTCAGAATCACGAGTGGGCAAAAATCACCATTGTCCTGGATTATCCAGTTCCCTTTGTAGCAAAAGATACCAAGTTTTATATACAGAAACCTCACTCCTTACATTCTAGGTTTATAAATCAAAACGAAGATGCAGTGGTTGTGATTAAACCTACAATTTTGCATCTAAAAGGGATGGAGGCAATGCCACAAGAAAAAAGACGACCCTACTGGAAGGAAGAAGACGTGCTAATCCCCTCCTCCCAAATTATTTCTCGACTTTCACTGTATCTATTTAGATTTTAGAATTCTATGATTTGTTTATTGTATTGAACAAGATATCACAGTGAGACTATGATAGTTTTTTTTGTAAAAAAAAAGAAAATCTGGGGCTAGACAGAATTTTAGTAAAAAGATAGTTGAAATAAAATTTACTTGAATACCTCTAGAAACTCTGTTTCTAACAAAATGATAATTGATCTCCACATGTTTGGTGTAAGCATGGAAAATTGGATTTGCGCACATGTATGTAGCATCAAGAATGTCACCACAACTTAGGAACAATGATCTCGTGCAGCAATAATAGGATCAAGATTTTCTCAGCACAGACATCGGCTAGAGCCTTATACACAACCTAAGTGAAAGATCTAGCAACAGTTCTTTGTTTTTTACAAACCCAAGATACAAGATTGGACCTAAGAAACACAACATAACCACTAGTTGACTTACGGTCTTCATAATAGCCAGCCAAGCACATTCGGTGCAATTCAAATGGTCTCCAGGATAGTCAGCCCAATAAGAAAATATTTCTAATTTTTGTAACTTTGAGGTTTCTTAAATTAGTGCAATTCAAATGGTCACAAATTATGATTTTGAAGTTAGGAATATTGTTAAATATCAATACTATGAAGATATAACAAAATGTAAAGCAGAAGAGTAAATAATATAATGAAACAACTATTTCTTTATATAGTTCAGAAATGAAACTCCTACAACGTCTACATGGTCCAAGACCCAGTGATACACTGATACTCAATTCACTAGCCACCAATATTTTAACATTTTTAAGAGTATAAGATGATAATACTCACGTATAAATCAAGAAAGTTTAATCATTTTTCTTATAACGACGTAATCTTGAGTCTTTAACCTAGCTTTGTGAATTGAGAACAAAAACTCGATCTACTAACATCTCAAAGATCCACCTTGACTTCATTATATTCTTGCAATTCCCTTTCATAGATTATTAATGCTACAAATTAAACGCCCAAAACATCCATTTATTTTTCTCAAGATCTTCAGAGGGCGAGTAGGTTATTATGGTCAGGACCTACTGGTTATACATTGAATTGATAAGAAGCATATGTTTTGTTTTGACGGTTACAAATTAATTTATGTTGTAATGTTGTTGTTTGTGTCCGTTGGCCTATAGCTCCTAACCGGTGAGTTTCAGGATTGAATCAACAATCAACAATAAGAAGTAATAGGCAGAGAGAAGGGAGTGACATGATTTCATTTCTATGGCCTTCACTTACAAAAGGATTACACACATATATAATATAGAATAATAATGGCATACATAATAACACATTAATATGTCTGTTACAAACGTTACAAAATAATGGTCACCATTAATATTTACAACAATTTAGTAAAATTGAACAAGAACTTCCCCGCAATATAATTTTGGGGATTCTAATTAATGTCCCTAACTTGTACATTATTGACATTATATTATCAAAATCTAAAGCACAACATTATTCTTATTAGTTTTTAGTTGTTTAATTGACACCGTTTAGTAGTTTGAATTGATCAAACAAATAGAGTTGGTGTTTGTTAATTACATTTTTCTTCTTAGCATTTTGCTCGATCCTCCATTACATATTGAAACCAGTGCTTTAAGTAGCTTTTTCAATAAACATTTTAAATTTCTTTTTAAGTTTTCCAAAAGTCAAAACATTCTTATATATAATTTTTTTTTAAAATGATTATCAGTGTGTACATAAAAACTTCTCCACTTTTTTTTTTAATTTATATTTTTATTTTTTTTTAGGGTGAAGGCTCTCTTCAATTTGGTTGTTGGCTAATGTCCAAAAGACCAAGCTTTTATTCTATTTTTTAAAATTTTTATTTGATTATTATTATAAATAATATTTATTATTTCTTATTAGTTATTAATTGTAATTCCTATATAATAATATATTATTATTGTTATTATTATTCTTATACCCATGTCATAATAAGCCTTTTTATATATTAGTTATAAACAATTAAATTTACTAAACATATTTCTCTTGTTAAAATAATTCATTAATTAAAATAACTATCACAATTTACTATCAAGTATCAACTAATTTAACTGTTAAAAAATAGCATATATTAGTCTCTACTCAAAGCTGACTCATCATATCACCTTATTCCACTCTAATATATATGTCACAATTGTCAAGACCTTGTTATCTAATGGCACTAAAGTTGCACTCTTATATGCTAGCTTGAGACGGCATTGACTCTTTGTGCTTCAGTAGGTTGAGAAAGTAGTACTGTCTTTTGATGTAAATTTTGACACAAAGCAACATTCAGATAACATATTATAAAACTTAAATTAATATATTATGTGCCTATAAATAAACTGAAAATACATAATATATTAATTGTAATAAGTACATAATTTAATAATATATTAACTACAGATACATAATTTGTTAATTATAATATGTACATAATTTACTAAATGAAGTACATAATATGTTAATGACAAGTGAATCAAAGTCCATAATACAATGTGAACCCAAGTCCATGGTATAACAATTATAGTCCTTTTAGAATATTGTTTCCTTATTTTTTTAGAAATCACTTTCCTTATGTTTTACAACTTCTAATTAATGATGTGAAGAGGTTTACTTTTCATATTTAACGTAGTTCTGTTCATCTGCTCAATATATATTACGACATTGAATTGTTACCTTATTTCCCAATAGTATAGTAGAATGAAGGCAATGCCACAAGAAGCAATACACGACAGACCCTACTGGAAGGAAGAAGACGTGCTAATTCCCTCCTCCCAAATTATTTCTCTACTTTCACTGTTTCTTTCAAGGTAGAAATGTCCAAATCAAGTAATTCTTGTGGCATGAAGACTATCAAGCCTAATTCGAATGCTAAACAGGTCACAAACAGGAAGGAAGAAGTTCAGTCCATGATGAACGGTCGTTTCATGCTGCTCTATTTCGTCAGGTTATTTTGTATTATGCCCGGGAATGGACAAGCTAAGCAATGGTTAGAGCCGTCAAAACGGGTTTAACCCGCTGGGTAAGCCCGCCCCGTCCCGCGAAAAGGACGAGACGGGCTTTGATATTTTGAGCCCGTATTTTAGCGTGCTTTTTTATCCGCCCCGCCCAACCCGCGGGCTTTACGGGCGGGCCGGCGAGGGCCCGCCAAATGTATAATAATAAAATTATTATAATAAATAAATACTATATAATATATATATATATATATATATATATATATATATATATATATATATATATATATATATATATATATATATTAACACATTGTATAAATGATTCGTTATTGATTTATAGATTAACACATTATGTATTTGATTATTTGTTAATTATTTTTGTATTTAAAAAATTACAAATGCATTAATATATGTTTAAACTATCCAAATTATTTTAGTATACACTTTTATTATATTTTTTATATTAATATAACTTTTATTTAATATTAAAACTTTTAAGTTTTGGCGGGCCCTGCCAAGGCCCGCGGGCTTAAGGTGGGGCGGGCCGACCCCCCTAGACCCGTATTTTGGCAGGCTTTTTAGCCCGCCCCCGCTATATGGCGGGCCTTGGCGGGCCCCGCCCCGCCGACCCGTTTCGACAGCTCTAGCAATGGTCATTCCTGGGCACTCTGTACAATATTTAAGTGCAATTTAAGCTGTTTCTACTCGGTTCTGGACGCATATATGGTTGAGCTCTAGTCATTTTTACTCACTCTTTTCATATCCCGTGAAGAATGTGTCCGGGCATAAGACTTCGGGTATAATCTGTCCTTAGCTTGTTGTAATGCATGAAGAATATTGTTCATGTTAAGTAATTGCAATGCTTTGGTAAAGTATTCTGTTTAGTTGAAAAGACTATATATATGAATACATCCCGTAACGTTCCCATTCAAGTCGCCAAAACCTTGGTATGTATTGTTATATAGGTAATTTGGCCACTGCATCCTAAGCTGGTTAAGTAGCCTAGGGTGATCATTCCTTCATTCCTAGTAAACTGGATGCATTAGGGTAAAGGAAAAAAAAAAAGAAAAAAAAAAACAATAAAAACAAAAAGTGAATTAGATGTAAAAATTTAAAATCTTAATTAAACAATATAAAACAACATATATACTCATCACCGGGTGATACGGTTGTGCATTATGATCTACGGGAACCGCAACTCCTAAAAATCGGAATGGCCACAGCCCGTGTATGCTGAAGTGTTGTCAGATTTGTGATTGTATGCAATTAGTATTAACCACGACATATAACCTAGGGGGCCAATAAATTGAAAGAACAAACACATTCCATGCAGGGATGGAGCTAGAAATTGGATTGAGGGGGGGCGAAGAAGTAGGACGGATTCAAAAAAAATTTCCAGTAAAAGCGAAACATTAAAACAAAAGAGATAATTTTAAAAAAAATAAATAAATTACCTAAGATTTTTTTTTTTTATATAACCATTACTTAAGAAATATAGTTGCAAATATTGTTGGATATGTGCGAAAAAATAAAACACATCGAAACTCCACACATTATAGGAGGACTCAAAAATATGTAATACTATGTTGAAACAAGGATTTGAACCCAAGACCTTTCCTATTAAAAGAGCATGCCTTACCAACTAATCTAACTCCTTACTTGTTGACATTTGCTAGTTTTTTTATACTAATACTAAAACCTATACTATATATACACATATATACATACAAAGATTATATATGGGGTGGGGGTGGGGTGAGGGGAGCAGCTGACCCCCTGCCCCCTTTGGCTCCGTCCCTGATTCCATGCATATTGGGAATAAACATTTCCCATCAATGAAAAAATAATCATTAACACAATTATAGTCTTCATCATATATATTTTTTTCCTTCTCCCAAATATATATTTTTTCCTTGATTATATTGTTAGTGATGATATAGAACTTTTGAGTTGAGGTATGCAATGCAGGTTGGCTTACATATTTAAGAAATTTTATATTTTAAAACTATACATACTATTTGTGTTCTAGCTATATATATCTTCCTTCCATCATATC